TAGAACATATTTACACTATTAATAAACTAATACAAAATTTACTTAATTTAATAGAACATGTGTGTCAAAGGTTATTAAAATAGAAAAACATATAACCTTTTTTGAACGAGAGCTCAATCTTTGTGTACGTTGCGCATCATCCTCTTTACTGAATTTGTCCTCTCCATGTTCCTTTTCACCAGGGATATCCTTTGAAACAACATTCTTAGAAATCAGCTTGTTTATATCCCTCTGATTCCGATCCTTCCTCAAACAAGTTACTTCAGAAGCAAGCTTTTTAATTCCCAATTCTTCCATTCTTCTTTTATTTTCAGCTATACGTTTCAACCTTTGCAACTCATATCCTGACATCTTCAACTGCAATTAATTTATGAAGGTTATAAAGAAACTTAAGTTATTGTCATTTCACACATCCACAAAATATTCATCAAAACATTTAACAAAACATAGTAAATCACATGAGGAAAAGTGTTTATAGTAACTGTAAGCACACATAATTTATGTACTCCCAATTATGGCTGGTTTCGGTTCGATAACTGAACCGAACTGAACATTTCGGTAACAGCGAAATATAAAACCGAAATCGAACCGACTTGCAGTCGGTTACCGATAAAAACCCAGCTACGACGAGACTCTTACGCCACACAGAAGAAATCTTGGTTTCCATATATAACTCTTAAGCGTCAAGTGAACATGTTGAAACATAAGAGTACATAGAATAATGTACGCTAGGTTGGTAATGTAGTATTTTTCTACATTTCAAGAGTACAGAGAATAAAAGAAATCCACCCCAAATCATATTAAATAGTTCTTGATTTCCTTGATAATTAATACAATTCCATAAATTTNTACAAGCATAAGAAAATTTGTACACATAGATTCATACCTCTACTTTTGAACTGTATATTGCTCCTCCAATAATGGTTCGACTGTGCCCGTCGTTAATCTAAAACTGATCATTCTCCCAGTTTTTGTATTGCGTAAGAGATAACTGCCACAAATTGAAAAACATGGATGAATTGGGTGAGAATTTACCGCCATGGTTGCGCGCCGAAAAATCGAGATGGAAGTTGCAATTAATTTTGGGGGAAGTTTAGATAGGGTATGCGGATATGGGGCGAGAATGAATAACCTGCTGTTGCAACTTGCAATTGATTTTTGGAAGAGGTATTAATGTTAGTATTCTATGCTATATTGTTTTTTCGTTTAAACTAATTAAGTAAAAGTAATAATAAATCTTATGTTATTTTTTATATATAATAAATATGAATGTAAATAAATTGTTTTTATTTTTCTATATACTTTTATTTATTTATTGTTATACATTAGTACGATGGATGGCATATTTGCCCTGTAACAAACAAATAAATTTCAAATTTGAGATTTGTTTAGTTAAATTCATAATTATTTATAAAACATAAAATTAATTAAGCGTTAATTATATCATATAACTAGTACATNAGAGGATATACGAAAAGCAAGATTGAGACTAGTGTTATAATCAAACCGAACTAATCGGGAACATTTCAAGCTCGTGTTAGATTATGTCCAAATACAATTCGTGTTCGTTTGGTTATTTTTCGAGCAAAAATTCATATTCAATCTCGTTCGTTTAATGTTCACCAAAGTTTGAATTCTTTCTAGTTCGAATAATTTAGTAGAAAATCTTTTTCAAATATTTGACTAACTGGAGATATATTCGTTCAAACTTGTTTAAGCTCGAAAATTTTAAATAATAAAATGAAAATATTTTTATTAAAAATATCATGTATATACAAAAATGAAATTATTTAAAATTATTGTTTTGAACATCACGAACGAGCTCGTGTTCATTCGACTAAACAAGCCCAATCTTATTTTCAAGCTCGACTCGATTAAAAAACGAAGGTGCTCTTGTTGAGCACGAGTAAACTCAAATGAGCTTTTGTTCAGTTCACCAACAGTCCTAATTGGTAGAGCCAATAACTGACTCGGAGAATACCAAATTGAAAAAATAATAGATATTGTTTTGAAGATTTCATAACATCCGTATTGAGAACTGAACCAAATTGTTCCACCCCGTACTGAACGGAAGA